GAAAGAAAAAAAAGAAAAAAAAAAAAGAGAGAGAGAGAGAGAGGGGTATAGGTGTAATAGGAGGTCAGTGGGAAAAGCTCAGGAGAAGTAACAAGCTAGGATGAATCGGGAGTATGCGCTGAGGCTTTCGGATTTCTAAAAACCCCGAATCGTGGTTATTTTTAGATTTATTCCGCCATGTTGTGTCATGACGTCATAGTGCCGCTAGGTGTGGGAAAAGCAAATACTTTTATCTGTATCTTATGTATTCTATTGTTACTTAATATGATCTGCATGACTATTACGTTCCATCAGTCAGCGTTTCCATCTATTCACGTTATTTCTAAAGACATCTCTAAAGGTTAATATTGATATTTCGCCTCGCTAAACGATCACTATAAATATTTCTCATGATCGATGAAGATTTTAGCCATGTTAAAGAACGAATACTTATTGGCAAGGAATCGAATAGTTAGCATATATGAGCTGGATTTCTGTACAGTTTCATCTATTTCTTGTCGTGTTTCTTGTCATGGTAGTAATCTTATCGGCATGTAATATATGACGACAATATATTATAACATATATGTGACGACAATTGTGTATGATATATATTCTATATTCGATACTATATAGTATATATAATACGATATTAGCCTAACATTTAATGCTATGTCGAGTTTTACGCTGCGTCGTGACGTAGGGGAAGTGTGTGCAACGCGAGTGCATACGTCACCGGTGAGTCGCCCGCGCTGTGGATTACTCGCGTTGCTATTGGTTACTACCAACAGTATGAGCGAATCGGTGAGTTTGAAACGTCAGGTAGAGTCGGCTGGGTGTCCGTTGATAAAGCAGCCGAGAGGGTTGTGTGGGAAGCGAGAGGGTTGTGTGAGAAGCGGGAGGGTTGTGTGGGAAGCGAGAGGGTTGTGTGGGAAGCGAGGTCAGGGATCTTCTGACGCCAGTCACTGGCCAAAAGCGTCACCAGGGTTTCAATAATGTTTACTATAGTATAGAGTATTGCGTCGGGAACGTAATAAGAATATAATGCAAACGAGAAGCGGGAAGCTAACGTCAGCGAGCTACTGACACCAGTCTCTGACCATGGCCTAGGGTGGGATCCGGTGTAATGAGTTATGATCTGGTGGGATCGTGATTTAAAAGAATGTTTACTATTGAGTATCGTGAAGAAACGGCGCGAAAACATTAAACAGGTTTAAGATAACGGTTATATTGGCTCTTACGTCTCGCTGACCTACAACTGTGACGTAATTCAGTGACGTCAGCGCGCGTGAAGGGTGGTGGGCTAGTCGAAGCGAGGACGTTAGCTTTGTGAGATTGTAGAAAGCTTGTTGGTCGATTGATGATTCGAATATATCCCGCAATGTTACTGTCAGTGCATGAGTCAACGTGTAATATCAGAGTACCGAGAGAGAGAGAGAGAGCGAGAGAGAGAGAGATAGAGCGAGAGCGAGAGAGAGAGAGAGAGA